TTTTGTTTTGAAATTACAGGGAGATTGGATGCACTGTAAGGGGAATTTGTTCCCTTGATTTTTTTTCATCTCCCTGTAAAAATGGAGCCAAAGTCCCCAAACACATACTTCTGGCCATACATAAAATAATTGCATTGCGGCTCTTTGGGTGAAAAGGCAGTTCTTCATTCTGTGGCTGTAATAAAAATGTAAATATTATTATGAGTATTACTTGATCACATGGCTTAGATAACAGCTGCTGATACGTTTACAACCTCCCTGACAATATCATGGAAATCCCAGAATGGACAAAAATAACTGATTAATATAGAATTTAAATGTTGCAGCTACGTTCACCGTAATGTAAAGAGGACGCTATACCCGCATGCGTTGTCTTCGTCTTACATGCGTACAATATAGCAAACAACTGTTTTGCGCGGGACAAAACCACTGCCTTGGTATTTATAGTAGAATTACCAAAATTCCACAATACATAGGAAACAAATTTTTCTGTGTCGTAGCGTTTTTATTTTTTTTATAGCATTCTCCAATAATTTTTAATAATTAAATGAAAAAAACCAAAAAAATTATATTATTCTTAAATTGATAACTTTAATTTTATTCATGCTATAAAAAAAATAAAAACGCTACGACACAGAAAAATTTGTTTCCTATGTATTGTGGAATTTTGGTAATTCTACTATAAATACCAAGGGAGTGATTTTGTCCCGTGCAACACAGTTTTTTGCTATGTTGTACGCTTGTAAGACGAAGAATGTTAAACTTACGCAGTGGATCTGAATACATGGTTTTTTTGGAGGATGCGTGCTGGAAGTATATTATAATTTGAAAAAAAAATGGCACTTAGGCCCGTTACGCAAAGGGAAACCCGCCATGGTCAGAGTAGCGTCATCCTTATCAATGAAACTGACACGCGTTTGAATAGCGTAATAAATCCACTGCGGAAAACGCAAGTCAGCCCGCGTTCTGCGGTCAAACGCTGAAGTAATAAAAACCAAAACTCCTAATGATACATCGTAATGATATAAGAATGGGCTAAACTGATGTAAAAAAACGCCAATGAATACGCGGCGTAGGAAATGCGACGGAAAACAACGTGTATAGCACCGTAATGAAAAGTAAAAAAGAAACAAAAATAGGCGAATATCGGGAGTGAGTAGTTAAAGGGACGCGCATGAAGAACGCGACATTGTATCAAGTTAATTAATAACAATAAAAATAATACTCACAACAGAGGCCATGACAAATATATTTAGCCGATGAGTGTTACTCTCTGCATTGCTTGAGGAAATGAAACAGCGATTGACCGGCAGGCGTCAATGCTCACCACACTTCGATAAAACTCACTCGGTCAGTGTTACCAATTACTGGATTTTAATTATTTTTTTGAAATCAATGTTTGAGCAACTGCCGAGTGACTCGACGGCGCATGAGCATATTTAATAAAGTTACAACTTACAACATAGTTTTATGTCCCCTGGTAAGCGTATTAGACTTGTTGTGGTGGCAAAATCAGTATTTTACCCATGTAAACCAGCACCGATATACCGTATTCTGGACAACTCGACCTCACAACCACCGTCTCCGTGATATTTGTAGTAGGTTCACCAAAATCACGGGCATGGTAGCTCGGGGTACTTTATACTATGTGTGTAAGTTTCAAAACGATCGGTCAAAGGGTTGATTTTATACGATTTTCCAAAGGGCGTTTGGCTGTTGCCGGGTGAATACAGCGGTAGACCACCGATGCACAATGAGAACGCCGTCTCCGTGATATTTGTAGTAGGATAACAAAAATCACAGACATGGTAGCTCGGGGTACTATATACTATGTGTGTAAGTTTCAAAACGATTGGTCGAAGGGTTGATTTTATACGATTTTCCAAAAGGGCGTTTAGCTGTTGCCGGGTGAATATAGCGGTAGTAAAATAACCATCCACCCTACAGCTATAAAAATTACGTCCTTGGAAAGAGGAGATAGTCTGCTATTAACCATTATTTTATACTTTTATTTTTCTTGCTTTTTGATGGACAAATGTGTTAATAGTATCGCATTAAAATCTAATTTTTCAACCAATTCTGCTGCAATGCTAAATATCGCTAATGCATTCAGCCTTTACTCCTTCATGGTGGACCTCAAATAGGACTTAACTCTTTTAAGGAAAGAATAGCCCTTTCGTCTGAGCAGTTTGAAACTGCTGTACTTATACATACGCATAACTATTTCTAAATTTGGAAACATACACACTACTTCTTTGGTCTTGATGTAATTATACATAGAGAGAACAGATTTCACCCTTTTATCCGTGAAAATTAATTTTGAAAAAAGAATACACTTATCTATGAGTCTATAATCTACATATATATAATCTAAAAATAAAACGTGGTTTAGAAGACCGAACTACAAAACGCATTGATTTATTACTATTTCAAACTTCCGATATTTAAATAAAAATAACAGCGGTACCCGTGCCGCTAAATCTGTGGTTGTATAGGCTGAAGCCTACACTGCTTACGCCTTAATCCGGGCCTGTCTGGCGGTATGGTGCAGGGCTAGTATTGAGATGTGTTAATATAACACAGGGTTATAATCACAGTGTAATACTGCTAAATAACACGATATTGTTAATTTTGAAGTACCAACCCGTGTTACTGAATTATAGCACCAAATGAATGTGATATGTTAATCATAATTTTAACACATATAAAATTTACGTGTTATCAATAATTATGAGTGTGTTATGATCTTATGAGAGTGTGATTAATAATTATATTAATATTAAATGATAATTAATTTACACATCACATACTCAAAAAAAATGGATGTAATCCTACTTGGAATCCATATCCAACAAATAAATCGGAGACTTAGGTATAGTTATGTTTTTTAGATACCTAATTATTATTTATTAACTATTACAATTGAATATAAATAGGTAGGTACTTAATCATAATTGTTTTTCCAATTAGGCAATATAAAATCTCTCATTTTTTCTCATTTTTTTCAGTCTTGTAAAAAATACTTTTAGAATTGTAGGTATTTAAATACAGTGATGAATACATCTATTAAAAAACTACCTATTTAAGAAATACACTTACTTGGCATATATTTAAATAGTAAAATGAAAAAAGTATTTAAATATATGCCAAGTATTTGTATTTGATCTTAAATACTTTTTCTTAAAAGTATTTTAAATGTATTTGAAATACTTTCTGAATGGATGAACTGATTTGTATCTGTATTAAAATACAATTTATAAGTATTCTAAATACTAAACATGTATTTTAAATATTTTCTGAATGGATGTATTTGTATCTGTATTTAAATACAATTTTAAAAGTATTGTTTACAAGACTGTCAAATAGATACTTAATTTAAAAATTATTCTAAATATTTTCTGAATGGATGTATTTGTATCTGTATTTAAGTATTTAAATACATTTACTCAAAAACTTTTAAAAACTGATTTGTTTATAAATCACATTAATCTAATTATTTACCCAAGTACTGCCTATTACCTATCTAATAAATAGCCTACTAACTATGGCTATAATCTACATAATTTAGTAAACGTTCTTAGTTCATTGAAGAAATTATTTTCTAAAGTTTAAAGAACGATTCATTATTTGTGTGTTTTTCATAGAAGACATCGGATCCACCCACATAGCAAAATATATGTTTAATAAAAGTATTACAAATTAGTAATTAATCTAAAGTATGTATACATTTTTAGAATACAAAAACCAATAAAACATAGGATTGATCCATTTGATCTTCCAGAAATTCAATTTGTGATATTATTCAGATTAACTAAAACATTAGTAAGAAATTTAGTAAATGATTTAATGCCTTTTTTACCAATACAAAATAGAAAGTCATCATTGAGTCCTGAAGTTAGAGTTCTTGTAGCTTTGAGATTTTATGCTCAAGGTAGCTATCAGATGTCAGTAGCACAAGATTTAACATTAGCAGTATGCCAAAAGTGTTAGTAACTGTGTACACATAGTTACTGAAGCAATTGTTACAAATCTGGCTCACCAATGGATTCAGTTTCCATCTGATGATGAAATTCCTTTAATAAGAGCTCAATTTTATGAAAAATATCATATACATGGTGTTGTAGGGTGCATTGATTGCACCCACATTTATATTGCATCAGTACCTGATGATCCTATTCATAGAGAATATATGTATGTCAACCGGAAAAATGAACATTCTATTAACGTTCAATTGATTTGTGATGCCTCATGTCGAATAATAAATGTAAATTCTAAATTCCCGGGATCGACACATGACTCATTTATTTGGAAAAATAGTGAAATAAGGAATTATTTAAAAGACAAATATGAAGAAGGAACTTTTAAGTCTTGGCTGTTAGGAGATAAAGGTTATCCATTAGAGCCATTTCTTATGGTACCTTTCCAAGAAAATGAAATTCAACCACATTCAAAAGAAGAGAATTATAATAGAATCCACAAAAAGACTAGGTCCATTATAGAAAGAGTTAATGGGCAGCTGAAAGGACGTTTCCGTTGTTTAATTAAGCATCGCATGTTACATTATCGTCCACAATTTGTCTCATTAATAACAATCGCATGTTGTGTTCTTCATAACATGTGTAAACAAGCAAATTTGGCTGATTTAGATTTACATGAAGAACTTGATATTGAACATGAAATACCAATTCCAATGAATGTAAATGAGGAAATTGGCAGAGGGCATATTTCTTTTCATAGACTAGGACAGCAAATTAGAAGTCAAATTGTAAATCAATTGCGTTAAATTTGCAGACCTTTTACTGATATGTATAAGGTATATAGTTAAATTGTATTATTTTTTTTTTATAACAAATCAGTGAGTATATTTTAACTGAATTATACTTTATAATACTTTTAAGAAAATACAAAATGTTATAATTAGAACAACAAAATAAAAAATGTAATACTTTTAACAGTTTTAATAACATAAATTAATATTAATAAGTCTTTTCATTTCATTTAGTTAAAATATCATGTCTAATCAAATGCATATTATGTGAAAAAAAAAAATTATATATATATATAAAACTATTTATCATTTCTAAGTGTTTCTAGTATATTTGTTGCTGTTATAACTAATGTCTCTAGTGCAACGGCCTTTCTTGTTTCAATTTGCAACATTTGCTCCATATACATTTGATAATCAATTTCAGTTTTCTCTGAAAAACATTAATTTTTCAAACAATAATTAAATAATCAACACACAAATACTTACTAAAAATTAAAAAAAAAAACATTTATAGTAAATATTAATTAAGTATATATTATTATAATTGATAATTTATATTTATATTTTAGGACTACCGTCCGAATTATACTCACTTTTAACTTGTTTTGATTTTTTTCTTATCATGTTTTCTTGTTCATTCATCTTGAAAGATTATGATAATATATTAATTGATTATAATTTAATTAATGTATTAAAATAATTTTATACCTCTGGGAAATCAAAAACTAATACATTTTCTGGAACTGGTTCGTTATTAATCAAAGGTTCACAAATATCTTCAATATTTGGGCTAGAATGACTTATATCCTATAAATCATAACAATTATTAAAAATAAAAATACACAATTACGTTATTATTGTATGGTTACCGGTTGTTGATGTAGAGAATTATTTGGTGTATCCTTTTCAATTCCATCTTCACGATTTAAAATAAAAACCTAGGTAAAATAAACGTTGTTGGTAACAAATATTTTAATTAAAAAATAATTTTAATTAATAATGTCATTACTTCACTATCTATCTGAATTACTGGATTCATTACTTCGGCTTGTTGGTTGCATATGTTTATTACCTAAACATTAAATTTGATTCAATTAAGAATACTTATAGGCATATGCCAATAGTATGTCATCAGTTACTTTTTTTTTAACGCAAGGTGAACCAAATTCATGTACTCGTTTGTGTCCTTCAATCATAGTTTCTCCGAAAATACCTACTATTCTTTCTTCCAATTCGGATAATTTTTCTTTTGATGATTCTCCTCCCCCAGTAGCTCTATAAGAAGATCTTATTTTTGCAGCCTTTTCTTTAACGTTTCTCTTCAAGTCTGACCATGTCTTAACAAAATTCAATTCATATAAAAATTAAATAAAAACAATATAAAATAAAGTAAAATATAAATAATATTAGGTACTAACTCGTTTCCAATCATCGACACTTTTCCCTTTTGGGCCAGTTGAACATGACTCAAGTTCAGAAATTATACTTTTCCATTTTTTAATAGAGTCGTCAAAACTAAAATCAGCACCAAATTTGCCTGAAACTAATCGGGGATTGTTTTCTAATAGTGAGACTAGTAACACTTTCTGTTCATCAGTAACTTTCTTCTGTCTTTTTTTATCCTACAATAGAATAGGTATGAAAAGTTAATTTGAAATTAATTAATAGTACAGTTAAGTCAACATTAAGAACATTATAGGCTATCTGGCTAGGTATATAATAAAGGTGTTTAAAACCAATGCAATTAACTCTAAAAGATAATAGGGAAAAACATATTAACTTAACTCGGTTAAAAATGAGTTAGACTTAGTGCATCCATTTGGTCTCTTTTTTAGCTACTATAATACTTTTTTGAACATAAATATAAATAATATAATATTTGAGATGTAAATTAAATAATTATTTTAATAAAAATCAAATAGGTAAACATTTTTTTATACTGTTATGTACTTCTTTGTTGGACAAGTAAAAATAAAAAAAATGAAAAAAAATGAACAGGTAAAAATAGCAATAGTATGGCAGTACCTACATTCATTTTATAAATTTTCATTTACAATTGAACTCTAATTGGTCACTATATTATAAAAAAAAGTTTCTAGAGTAGGTACTTAATTTTAAATTATAGTTATACTAAGAGCACTGAAGTTTGTTAATTAATTTTTAATATAACTATTAAACAATAAATAAATATTTTGTCAAAAATGTATCTAAATCCTTCTTATTACACAGTAGCTATAGTAATTTAATATATTATTCAAAATTGCAGTTATAGATACTAAATAATACTTACATAGAAAGTAGAAAAATGATTTTCACTTTACGTATCATTTTTCAAATTGACTGGAAATAGTTAAGCCCTAGTGGTTAGTTGTTACTATGAATTCTTTAATTCTTAATGTTATTAGATAATAAGAAAATTAATCAACAAGTATGTTGAAATGTTTTTAAGCAGTTAATTTCCACCTATATGAGTTTTGTAATAATATCATACTTATATGGATAATACTAGGTAGGTACCTTCCTAGTATACTCTATAGGTAGGTACTATTTTATAATATATATAATAAAGTAAAAATGTGTTTTATGTAAGGGCACCTAAAAGAATGCTCCAGGAGGCAGGTGGATACTGGGTATGATCATACCTAGTATACAAGTATTTTATATTATGCTAATACATGTAAGATTTTAAACCAATTGTACTAGGAAAAAATATAATACAAACACTAAATACCCATCAAACAAATTGAATGTACAATAATTTAAATACTAATTAGATATTACCATACTTTTACTTACCATGATATATTTTGTAGTTGTCTTTGGACTATGCTTTAAAGTTAAACTTGAAATATAATGAAATATAAATATTTCATGAACTTAATATTTATGATTTGATATTCACTTTTATCAGTTATCAACTATCAGTTATAACTTTATAACTTATAAATAGCAAATAAGGGAACGTCGCGCCATAGAACAATCATATATTTATAAACACGGTATAGATGGTAACTTGTATTCTATACCCGTGGTATAACCTCAATCAAGTAATTAACCGAAAAATGTATCCAATTTATAACGCGCGCCATAATTTCATAACACGCACCATAATTTCATAACGCGCACCACAGAAATAACACATTTATATATCCCGAGTCGGTACTACTGTAAGCTGTTATTTATTTTATCACTGTGTTATGTAATGTGGTATCGTAACGTTAATGGTCGATATTTACCACATCTCAATACTAGCCACCCAGGTCAATTAAAAAAAAAACGCGATAACAATGTAAGTATAATATACTATTCGTTTTACAAATAATAAAATATATATACCTAGCTAATATCTAATTGGCCAAAATAAGAATTTTATATTTTTCTTAGTTACTTAATATATACATTATATATTTTTTCCACTATTTGAATAAACCAATTTTAACACGATTTTAACACGATTTTAACACGATATTTTAACACGATTTTAACACGATTTAAACTCAACATGCATTTTCGAAAACTGGTGGCGATCGTTTACCGAGAGTTCGTAGCATACATATTGAATATCTCACCTCATTGTGTGACAAGCGAAGAGATATTGGTATACTCGGCGTCATTGAGATTGAAAAGAAATAGGCAAGCAGACACAGTGAAATGCATTTTTCAGGCGTTATTTCAGAGGAACCCAGTGTACCAAGAGGTAGCGACGTGGATCCGAAACCCTGAACCATTGATCGGGGTGAGTTTGTAGCTAACGTTCTTAATGGATGAATTAAAATGGTATTATTGAACATTATATGATATTTTTTGTAGGTTTTAAATAGTTCAACACATAGGATAAACAATAAATTGCCAAATTTTACGGAGAATGATTTCCAATCATATAACATTAACAGATACTCTTGGAAAGTATGTTCCAGCTGTGACCCTTTCACGCCAACACAACAGACGTTAGCTGATATTGACTATATTTTCGAAGTATATCAAAACCCAGTAAACCCTATGTCAAAAATAATGACCCCTAAACGTCGACGCGAAAATGATGTTGTGGAATCGCAGCCGTCAATGTACACTGAACATCATCCCACAGCAGAAGATGATTGTTGTGCCTGTGGGGGACCAGCGTCAATAGATTTAGTGAGTTGAAATTGTAGAACACGTTTTAAATGGAACTCAATAGTTCCTCGAGATTAAATGTATTTGGAACGTTAATATTATGAAAAAAAAATAATAAAAATTAAAATTCATATGTCTGATTTAATTGTTCATAGCCTGAACCTGCAGTGGACCACGAAAATGTACCATCCTGTTCGAACTACTCTCATGGCTTAACTCTTTCCAGCACTGGGCGGCAAATGAAAATGGTACCTTAGATGCACGGCAATTTTTTTTTTTTAATTTTTTTTTTCCTCTTAACATTTAATATATATACTTACCAAACAATTAATCATAGCACTAAAAACTTCTTTAGTTAATTTTTAACCTTGTAATTTGAAATTTTAAGGTGGTTAGCGTAGCTAACCACCACGCACGTAATAACAAAATTGTCCAGTACATCATAAAGTTTTATTGAATAATTTTTCAACAACTACAAATAAAATGAAATCATTAAATTAACTTTAATTACTAAATTATAATTCAAACTATATAATAATAAAAAATAAAATTTGTATATAATTTATTTTTTAACTTATGTAAATTATTTTGTTTTATGAAAATCTTGAAAGCAATTCGAATCTTTTCTCATACATAGATTTACTTTGCACACAGAACAAGTCCAAATTGAACGAATCGGTTTTTTTTTTGTACTACAGTTCGCACACCTCCTTGATGTTGTTCTAATTGGTTGATGTGCTGAAGACTCATAACGTACACTTTCCATAACGATTGGTTTTTTTGATGATACTACTGAAGGTCGGGCTTTTGGGGTTGCCGGTGAAGATTTATTTTTAATACTAATTATTTTGTTAGCCAATAAGTCATTGTAAATACTTCGATGAAAATCTTTATTGGTAAAT